CCCTGAGGGGAGCCCCGGCTGTGAGGGAGCCCCGGTTGGGAGGGGACTGAGGGGACAGGGGACCCGCGGCCTGAGAGGTGAGGGGACAGGGGAGCCCTGGTCGTGAGGGGAGCCCCGGCCCTGAGGGGACTGAGGGGAAAAGGGAATCTCGGCCATGAGGGGACCGAGGGGACAGGGGACCCCTGACCTGAGGGGACAGGGGACCTGCGGCCTGAGAGTTGAGGGGATAGGGGAGCCCTGGTCGTGAGGGGAGGGGGGGGACAGGAGACCCCCAGCCTGAGGGGACCGAGGGGACAAGGGAATCTCAGCCGTGAGGGGACCGAGGGGACAGGGGAACTCAGGCCGTGAGGGGACCGAGGGTAGAGGGGAGCTCGGCCTGAGGGGACTGAGGGGACAGGGGAGCTCGGCCTGAGGGGACTGAGGGGACAGGGGAGCTCGGCCTGAGGGGCCTGAGGGGATAAGGGACCCCGGCCTGAGGGGACTGAGGGGACAGGAGACCTCAGGCGGTGAGGGGAGCCCTGGCTGTGAGGGGACTGAGGGGAGAGGGGACACCCGGCCTGAGGGGACCGAGGGGACAAGGGAATCTCGGCCGTGAGGGGACGGAGGTGACAGGGGAGCCCTGGCCGTGATGGCGTGAGGGGATAGGGGAGCCCCGGCCCTGAGGGGACACCCGGTCTGAGGGGACTGAGGGGACAGGAAACCCCCGGCCTGAGGGATGAAAGGACAGAGGACCCTCGGCCTGAGGGATGAAAGGACAGAGGACCCTCGGCCTGAGGGGACTGAGGGGACAGGGGAGCCCCGGGGTTTGCCATCCCTCAGCCTCTCCCCTGAGCCCCCCGGGCTCTACAATCCCAACCTTAGCGGGGCAGAAACGTCACCTGACAGAGGGATGAGTGCCAGATGTCAGCAATTTTCACAGCGTGCTTTAGCAGAACACGCTGAGGGGAGACACGATATTGATTGGAGCAGAGAAAGTTGTCTGTCCCCTGCACTGCCACGTCCTCAGCAGAAGGGAAGAGTGTTGCCCTCAAGCGCAGCAGCTCAGGGCAGAAATCTGAGCTCTGTGTGTTTTCATCTCCCAGGGGATGGCGGCGAAGCATTTACACAGCCAGCCTGCTGCTCCTGACCCATCCCGGGACAGACACTGCAAAACCACGGCGCTGAGTCTCACATCTCTCCAAACTTGGCTTAAACAAGGTATCTTTTTGCTAATTTTTTTGATTACCGACCGAATTTTCCACCAGGATGGGAAGGGAGATCAGAACACGCTTGCTGCTGAGAAATGGTGATGCCGAGACCAAGTTCCACCACGGTGTTTCCCTCACAATTATCCACTCGCTGGCATTTTTTTATCGACGTTATTCGAGCATAAACACTAAAAATCCTGCCTTGTTAACGCAGTTTAAGCAAAAGGAGAAGCAGACCACTGGGCGAAGGCCACAGCTAAGAGCCTTAGCAAAGTCAGAGCAAAGAAGTGGTTAAGGATCTAGATGATTTAATCCAGTTTTAAGAAAAGGGTTTTACAGGGAGCAATTAGATGCTGTTTAAGGAATTAATCACTAATGGGTCATTAACTCTGACTGCCATTGTACAGTTAACAAGCCGCGGCAGGATTATTAGACTCAGCACCCAATTAAGGAGGGAGAAGACATTTCCAACCAAACGAACAAACGAGCTTTTTAAAAACGGAAAGGGACAATTTAAAGGAAAGTGGTGGTGGGGGAAAAAACCAGAAAGCTGGGAGTTTGCGCTCGTGTCCAGCTGGTAAAATATTTATTTTTTTAGCCAGAAACTCGGAGCTTTCCTTGACGGCACAGGGTGCTGACAGCCGATGAGGAAGTCGGGTGGGGGGGGGTCTTTCCGATGGTTTTACAGGAAAACTGGAAGCAACAGGGGAGGGGAAAAAAAGGAAGGGCAGCGGTGTCAAAATGTGGGAAAGACCTAAAAGACCTAAAACCCGACGCAACAAGCTGGGGGAGAGAGAGAGAGAGAGAAAAAGGCATTTGGAAAAAAAAAAAACAAGAGATGCCCATTACGATCTTTAAAAGCAGCCCCGCGGACAATGAAGTGGGGGGCTGCTTGGGGAGAAGGGATGTTTCGAAAACTGCTGCCGGAGGTTAAAAAGCTCCCCGAAGCGAAGCTGACCAAAGTTGACATCCCCGGTGCTGACGGGAGCCTTCAAAGATCGGCGCAGATTGGCAAAATATAATTAGACGCCGGGCCCTTTGTCTGGCCACGACGAGTGGGAAATGGGGAAAGGAGAGGGCTCCCAAGTCCGCATTGAATCGTCCCCCCCCATCCCCCCCGAACACAATGAGGGCACTTGTGCATCTTTCTCTCCCTTCCCTAATGAGAAACGTTAATTGCCACAACCTCCCGAGTGTGTAGAGGTGGAGGGGCAGGGGGTGTTTTCATTTACGGCGTCTCGGCCCCATTAGAGGCCGTAACGGAGATGATGGAAAATAAAAGATGCTGCAGTTGGGGTTTGGGCGGGCAGGGGGGAGCGGGCACGGCCGTGCCAGCCTCGCTGGGCAGGCAGGGCGGGCAGAATTTAGGGTTGAGGCTGAGACCCACTGGGGACCCTCATCTGACCCCTCCTGTCCTGCCGCTGGAGGAGGAGGAGGAGGAGGGAGCGAAGAATCCCCAGCCGGGCATCTCCCACCCTTCCACATCCTCCCACTGCAGATGTGGGGGGGAAAAAAAAAAAAGCAGAACCCCCTCCCCGGGTGTGATGGGACACCTGGGCACCCCACACAGCTCTTTGCCCCTGCTACTGCAGCTTTTATCGCCGAGAGGAGACACAACAAAAGAGATCTTTTTTTTTGGGGTTTTTTTTTGGTTTTTTTTTCCTAAGCTAGGATCGGGCCCCCCCCCCCAACTCTTCGGGGGGGGGGAAAAAAAAGGGAATTTTCCAAGGGAGCCACAAAATACAAAGCGAGTCAAGGCGCGAGGCGGAGGGGATGGGGATGGGGAGAATGGAAAGGCAAAAGGGACGAGCCCTCCCGTGGGTCCCCTCGATCGCTCGATCGTCCCGGGCCGGGCGGAGCCTTTCCCCCCCTGCGGGTGGGGCAGTTCAGATGGTCTGCCAGGGCTTGCCGATGGACTGGATGTGCTCCTTGGCCTTGAGGCGCAGGGCGGCGATGCTGGTGTTGCGCGGGTCGGCCTCGTCCAAGGGGAACTTGTCCACAAAGGTGGCCCCGCACTGGTAAGGCGGCGGTGGAGGCGGCGGAGGCGGAGGTGGCCCCATGGCCCCCAGGGGCTGCAGGGTGACGGCCGGAGAGTTCAGGAACGAGGGCGGCGGCGGCGGCGGGGTGAAGCTGCCGCCGGCCGGCGAGCCCACGAAGCCGGGCAGGCTCTGCAAGGCCGTGCCGCCGGGCACGGGTGGGCTCAGCCACGTCTCCAAGGGCAGGTTGGTGCTCAGGGCGCCCATGGGCGTCGCCTGAGGCGAGCGGTTGAAGGAGAGGATGGGCGAGTCCTGCAGCTTCATGGAGGTCACCTCCAGCTTCTCCTGCCGCCTCCACTTGGCCCGGCGGTTCTGAAACCACACCTGCAAGCACAGCCGCGGCAGTGGAGCCCCGGGGAGGGGGCGGCGATGAGACAGAGCCCGGGCACAAAGGGGGTCGGGGGGTTCCCCGCGGCAGAACCCGTCCACCCTCCGCCACCCCACTCGCGGCATCCCCGGCTTGGGACACACCCCGAGACCCGGCGGGATCCACGCACCGGGCCACCCACGGGTGACTCCCCGACGGCGGGGGGGGGATCGGGCGTTACCTGGACGCGGACCTCGGGCAGGTTGACCTTCATGGCCAGCTCCTCGCGGCTGTACACGTCGGGGTAGTGGGACTTCTCGAAGGCGCGCTCCAGCTCGTGGAGCTGGTAGGTGGTGAAGGTGGTGCGGTTGCGCCGGTGTTTCTTCTTGGGCTGCTGCTCCTCGTCCGACGCTTTGCCCTCGCCGCTGCTGCCGGCGGGCAGCTCGGGGCTGGCGCTGCCGGGGCAGAACGGCTCTAGGAGTGGGGGGGGGGGGGGGGGGGGGGGGGGGGGAAAACCCGCGGGTCCCCCGCGGGATCTGAACGCGAGGGGCCTTTCCCCAACCCGACCCTTCCCTTTCCCCCCCCCCTCGGGGCGCTCACCTTGGAAGCGCTCGGCTCGGCCCCGCGGCTCTGCCGGCGGCGGCGGCGGCTCCGCGGGCACCTTGGGCAGGCAATGCCGCGGCCCCCTCCGATCCGCCTCCTTGGCCGCGCCGTCGGGCGGGAAAGCTCCCAACAACCCGTCGTCCTTGGGGAAGCCCAGGATGGCCTCGATGCTGTGCAGCCTCGACGGGTTGCCCCCTGCGCCGGGGGGCGAGAAGGCGCCCTCGGCCATGGCGAGCGGGGCGCCGGGAGGGTGCATGAGGCGGCCGGCCCGGGGCCCCGGCGCGGGCAGCTCTGGCACGGAGCCTCCCGGGCGGCTTTGGCCTCCTCGGGGCGGGGGAGGAGTGCCGGGGGGCGGTGGGACACGAGCAAGAAGGCGAGGAGGAGGAGGAGGAGGAGGAGGAGGAGGAGGGGGAGAGGCAGGGCAGGGCATCCCCCTCGAGCCCCCGCCCCGCCCCGGCCGGAGCCGGTCGATGCCATCCGGGAGGGGCAATCAGGGCAGGGCAGGGCTCTGCGGGGAAAGCCAGCCTTGACTCAGCGGGCAAGAGAGGGAGCCCGGCGGTCCCCTCGTTGGGAGCGGCTCTGGGATCGTTTCTCTGGTTTTTTTTTTACCCGACGGCTCCGGCGCGCAAATCAATCCCTGCCGGATGATGATGATGATGATGATGATGATGGATCGGATGGTGCCCCGCGGGAGGATCCGGGCTGGCTCGGGGGGGGGTGATTGAATTGGGGGGGTAAATTAGCAGGTGCCCCGCGGGATTCTTGAATTTCCACGCCGAGGGGTGAAAGGAGGAGGGCTCGGCCTTTAAGACTTCCCTCGCTTTTGTGAGGAAACTTCCCGAGATGCTGGCGTGGATCAGAACCGCGAGTGGGGCTGGGGGGGCGCATCGCTTTGGACTTGGTTTGGGGGAAGATGCGGACGCGCCACTAACCAGAAAAACCCCTCTCCCACCTCCGTATTTGTTGCTGCTTTCCTCTGTCGATCAATTTTTTTCACTCTGGCACCCGAAAGAACTCGTCAAGCCCTCCTTTTTTAGGGAGGGAGAGAGAGACAAGCAAAGGTTAGCGTGGCTTTTGTGGCCGACAGAAAAAAAAGCGCGAGTGGGTGCCATTGTGGGGGCAGCGGAGGGTACTCAAAGCAATCAGTCGGGGGCCATTGTGCCGCCGTAATCTACATGTGTGTTTCCCCAGCACTCCATTCACGCGGCTGAATGGCCTGGGCAATGTCCCTAATTTCTCCTTCGCGGCTGGGTGGGGGGTGATTTACACAAAACACCAGAAATCTTCATCCCCTGAAAGCCCCGAGGAAGGCGCTGTCGATGCCTTGCTGCTTTTTTTTTTTTTTCCAACCTGCTGATTTTTCTTTGCCCCGGGAGAGCCGGTGGAGTTTTTCCCCAAGCCCTGACAGGGGGTGTAAATAAATGCTGTAAATTGCTGCGGTGGCAGCTCCAGAGGGAGGGAGGGAGGGAGGTTGGTCCCAGCTCCACGCCAGAATTAACGCAATCCCTTCTTGCCTTCTTGTGTTTTCCAATTAGCCTAATTGAATTCCGATTGCTGCCGAGTGGGCCCTGCGGACGTTTATCTTTGATGGGATGACCGAGCCTCGAGCTCCAGCGATCCTCTTAACGCTCTAAGAACCTCCCCAAATCCACAGGTAGGGGCTCCCACGTGACCCAACCGATTAATCGGCACCAGAGCCACCTCCCCCTCTGATAACTTTGTCAGGACGTCCCAGCCACGGTTCGGGCGTTCCCAAAAGCGGAAAGGCTGATGAAAAGTTTGATCCTTAAATTCAAATTACCGTTTCTGCTCGGGGGAGGGGGAGACGGCGACACCATTTTTATAAGAAACATCAGCATTTATTTCCGACAGCGCTATTAAAATTCACCTCTACCCGACGCACAGCAATTACCACGTCACTAAACTTCCCCCCCGATTTTAATAGCAAGGAAAAAAAGGCACATTTTTTTTTTCCCCCCTCCCCTAATCGCTTTTTTTTTTTTAATCTATTTTTGATTTACGTCAAGAATTTTAGGAGCCGTAAATTGTCCGCCCCTCCCCCCTCGGGGGGGTTTGGAGTCTTTCTCTCCTCCCTTTTCCCTATGTGTAAGTGGAATGTTCTAGAGCTAAGCGCCCTCCCCCTCCCTCCCGCGGTCCTGGCGGTGACGTCACTGGAGTGATGACGTCACCTCCTACATCACGGAACACTTCTGCTCGGCCGCTTGTTTCATCTCAGTGAAAGTGGCCTGGGCCTTCTCTTTGATGGCGTCCATGTCCATGTTCTGGATGTTCTGCAGCTGGCCCAGGATGGAATCCTTGTCCTCCTCCTCCTCCTGGTCCTGCGCCACCATCTTCTGCAGATCTTCGGGCAAGCCCACGTCATCTCCCGCCATCTGGATCTGGTTCTCGTCCAGCTCGCTCTGAAAGA